GAAGTTTGGGGACGTACTTCCGGTTTGCTCATATGGCCGTTTTTAGCCCTCTGGAGCATTCAGGAGGCTTCAGGAGGCTTCCCTGAAGGCTCCAGAGGGAAAAAAAAATGAGTCTATGAGCAAACCAGAAATGACTCATGTCACTTGATTTTTATTATTTTTGTTGCTTTTACAGAGCTGAGGTGGCCTGTGCACAACGCATCCGGCCTGCAGGCCACTAGTTTGGCAGGCCTGAGTTAGAGCAACTGGTTGATTAACTCTTAATATAACCCACTTCCCCCAAATTCATAATAAAGGCATCATTTTTCTATTGCTCTTGTCACCCTACATTGGCCCTTTCTCTTTCCTATTAAATAGTCCTTATTTATGAAAGACATTTGGAAAAGAAACCCTGAAGGTAATATGGGTACATGTTGGATATGAACACGTATATATCGCAGAAACAATTTTTTTTTGAGGTGAAGAGACCCCAAACAATTTATGGGATAAAAGTTAAGGCTAGTAATTTGAACTGTTTTTTGGAAAGAGGTTAGCAGGTAGAATTAATGGATATAGAATCATCCTCACAGCAAGTCCCAGGAAGGAATGTGTAATTATTAAAGCTATAAAATGTATCTGTTTTGAAATTGTGTAAAAGCAATGAAAGCATGTGGTGAACATTTTGTAACTTAAAGAAATCACTACCAGACATTTCTGACCAAATTATAGCCTTGAGCTTTTTAAAAGTAAGAAGAGATTGAATAACATTAGGTGTATACCTTTGAGAATGTGTGCTTATGTTTGTGTGCACACTCATTAATTTTGTACTAATTTCCTAAGCAGAATTTATTCAACTTGGTGAAAGTTAAATTAACTGGGTAGTTTTTTCAACAAGGTCTATTAGAAATAGTTCATTTAGTATTAAAATTAGTTATAAATGGTTTGTTGTCGAAAATATTTTTAAATTACTAAATTGGCAAATGAATTTTCACCAGGAAACCCATATCTTGAATAATACATTCATATAAACATCATGTAGATAGCATTAATAAGAACTTCAGAAAATATGTCATGGGTCAAAAGACTTCCCATCATATCAGATGTTGTATTGTTTTTATCAATATTTATTACATTAATATTTTAAATAGTTTTCTCAATGTTGTACTAAAATGCTATTAACATACATTTATAGATTATATTAACAAACATAATACATTAAGCAGTTGTCAATACATTTTCTATTTCATATTTGCAAATTTTGTTAATGGTTTTAGTCCGCTATCAGTTTGAATGGGGGTTCTTTTATATTATTTAGTTATTGAAATACAGTAGACTCATTCAGTGGTATGATTTGGTGATGTATATTAGACTCAGTTACACGGAAATACATGTTTGGATGAAAAACAGAATTCAGAACTTAACAATATTATGTATATTTCTATCTAGAAATAGAAGTTAATTAAATCACTGGCTGTTAGTTAAGACCAGGTTCCCCAACTCAATATAACATAGCACATTTTGATGAATAGCATTTTAATGTTGTCAGAACACTGCTTCTTTGCAATACTTTTGAAATAGTAAGTTATAGCAGCTGAAAAATTATTGCAATCATTTTTGATTGAAATGGAAGGGACTTTGGGGGTCTTTTAGTCAACCCCCTGCTCAAGCAGGAGTCTATACTATTCCAGATAGGTGGATGTCCAGTCTTTTCTTTAAAAACCTCCAGTGATGAAGCACTTACAGCTTTTGAAGGCAAGCTGTTCCACTGGTTATTTGTCCTCACGGTTAGGAAGCTTCTTTTTAATTCCCAGTTTCTTCTTTCCTTGATCAATTTCTACCAATTGTTTCTTGTCTTGCTTTCTGGGGCTGTGGAAAATAAGTTGACACACTCTTCTTTGTGTCTGCCACTCAAATATTGGAATACAGCTATCATATCACTATTAATCATCATTAGACTGGCCATATCTAATTCCTGCAACCATTCTTCATATGTTTTTGTGTCCAGGCCCTTAATCATCTTAGTTGCTCTTTTTTTGCATTCCTTCCAAAGTCTCAACATCTTTTTTGTAATTTAGTGAGCAAAAGTGGATGCAGTATTCCATGTGTTGTCTCACTAAGGCTTTATACAGCAGTACTAATATTTCACATGGTTTAAATTCTATGCTCTACAAAAAAGTTCTACAACAGCTTTTTTGGCTGCTGCCATGTACTGCTGGCTCATGTTTAAGTGATAGTCTGTTAGGACTCCAAGGTCCCTCTTACAGTTTGGTTTTTAAGCCAGGTTTCATCTAATCTGTACTTATAACTTTGGTTTTTCCTGCCTAGGTATAAAACCTTGCTTTTCTCCACATTAAACTTCAAGGCTATCAATCTCTTTTTAGATCCTGAGCTTGTCTTCTAGGGTGTTGGCTATTCCTGCCAGCTTAGCGTCATCTGAAATTTGATGAATTCCCTTCTATTCCCTCATCAAAGTCATTTATAATGATATTGAAGAGTACTGGGCCCAAGACGAAACCTTGTGGTACCACACTAACTTACTTCCCTCCACATAGATGTAGTACCATTAAAGAATACTTATTGAGTATGATTTTAAGCTACTTAAAAATCTATCTGGTGATGGTGTTACAAATCCATCTGATGGTGACTGCACATCTTTCTAATTTATCAAGAAGTAGGTTGAGGACTACTTTGTTCTAATGCCTTGCTGAAGTAAGCATAGTAAGTATACTATGTCCCAGCATTTTACTGGTTTAATAATTTAGTTACTCTGTCAAAGGATAAAATAAGATTGGTTTGGAATGTTTTGTTTTTAACAAACCTGTTAAAGTTGGAAAGATCCTTGGAAGTCTTTTAGTTCAACCTTTTCTCAAGAAGATGACCATTTATCATTCTGGACAAGTGGCTATCCAATCTCTCCTTTAAAACCTCCAATGATGGAACACATACAATTTTTGGAGGCAAGCCATCCCACTGATGAATTTTTCTCATTGTCAGAAAATTTCTCCTTAGTTATAGATCAGATATCTCCTTGATAAGTTTCCATCCATTACTTCTCATCCTGCCTTCAGGTGTTTTGTAGAATAGGTCTTAATTAATTTTGGTAGAAGACTTTGTGATCTGAGCTACAATCTTTATTGATTTAATCACTCTCCATCTTTGTTTGCAAAATATATACCGTATTTTTCGGAGTATAAGATGCACAGGAGTATAAAACGCAGCAAGATTTTGAAGAGGCAAATTTTTAAAAAAAGTTTTTGCACTCTGTAGACCTCCCAAAATGGGCCTGTTTTTTCCCCAAAAAGGGCAGGAATAGGCTTTAGGAGACTTGTAGAGTGCTCCTGGGGAGTGGGGAAGCAAAAAACAAGCAAAAATAGCCCATTTTTTTGCAAAAAAAGGGCCATTGTTTTGCAAAAAAAAATGTCATGCATAGCATTTAGGAGGCTTATAGAATGCTCCTGGGGGCTGGAGGGCAAAACTGAGCAAAAAACGCCAATTTTTCGCTCACTTCTGCCCTTCAGGAAAGCTGTAAAAACTTGGCTGTTGACTTCACTGTTGAGGTCCAGTCCCAATTAGAATGAATGTATGAGGTGTTGCTATTTTAAACCGTTTTTTTCCATTATGTGTTCGTTATGTGTCTTTTTTCCCCTCTTTTTTGTAAGCCGCCCGGAGCTCTTCGGGATTGGGCGGCATATAAATTTTATAATTAATAAATAAATAAATAAATAAATAAATAAATAAATGCCTCCTAAAGGCTCTGCATGACCATTTTGGTGAAGGGGAGGTTTTGGGAGGCCAAAAATGCTGTATTCAGTGTATGATGCACCCAGATTTTCAGCCACTTTTTTGAGGAAAAAAGATGTGTCTTATACGCCGAAAAATATGGGAATCATTTTGATTTTGGTGTTGTTCATTCACAGCGTGCAATAAAGTAATCTTTTAGATTTTGGAAAGAAAGCATTTACCATAAACTCTGAATGGTCTTGGCAGACCACTGCTAGTCCATCTCCAGATTCTTTTTATATGTCATTTTTTCCCATTATTCCACGTGCTTTATATTCCCTGTATTTAACATGACATCCGTTTTTGATGTTGTATCAATAAAATGCTGCAAGTCATCATAGAAGTGTTCAAATTTCATTTCTTGTGCATCTGTAGTTTAGAGCATTGAATGGATTGTCATGATCTTGTTTGGCTTGACTTGGACTTGAATTGAGTTCATTCTATCATTTTAGGGGTGAATCCAATCACTGATTTGACACTCTTTTGTTAATAATAATAGTTACTCAACTTCTTCTATTATTTCTTATCTGCAATAGATCCAATACTCCTCTCTTGTGAAGCGACTTATTTCAGTCCATCTCAGTTTGTTGATTCCCAGAAAGTCAATGTTCAGTCTTACATTTCTATTCTAACAAATGTCTTTTGTTCATGGTTCTATCATATGCAGATGCCTTTTGTCTCTCACACATCAGAAGCTGACATCTTTTGGGCTTTAATCCAACGATATCATAAATATTAATGCTACTTGTACTTTTGGGCAATTGAATTGATTTTTCTGTGAATTGGAAGTCACAACGGAGGAAGAAAATGCTTATAGATCATACGCCTGTTAAAAAAAATGGACTGTTGGTTCATGATTGTGATGTGGTTCATTCATGTGATCGTTAAAGCCTACCACATTCTATGTGCATCACAAATTTGCTGTAATAATCTAGAAGTACTCATCCAAAATTAAGCAACATTAAGTAAGCTAGTCTTCTCTATTATAATAGAACAATTTTCTATTTTAAAGTTCTTAAGTGATAGTGTCTTGATTTTTCCAATGACTTGTGCATTATATAGAGTTGCCAAACTGATAAAGGGAGAACTTATGAAAATGGTGTAATGCTTTGCAGCCTCCAGAAAATTCTTACATATCAAGTTCCATAAAAATGCTAATTGTTCCCTAGTTGTTTAAATTGTTTTAAAATACATCATTTATTATATTTATTTAAATATTACTTGCATTTATCCATTTACAGGCATACTCTTTTGGAAGATGGAACTCTAAAAATTGCCAATGTTACCAAAGCAGATGCTGGGAGTTATACATGTATAGCAACAAATCATTTTGGCGTAGCCAGCAGCACTGGGAACCTGATAGTAAAAGGTAAGATATTACCTTCACCAGATAGTTCCTCAGCTTGAGTTCCAGTAAGATATCTGTGAATTTGTAGATCTTGGAAAGTTTAAAAAAATGAAATTTGCATGTAGATTTCTGAAAAGCTACTTTCTTGAAATATATATGAAAACACACAGAGAGACAGAGAGACAGACAGATAGACAGACAGACAGACACACACACACACACACACACACATAGATAGAGATAGATAGATAGATAGATAGATAGATAGATAGATAGATAGATAGATAGATAGATAGATAGATAG